CGGGGTTACCACTTGATGAGGAGGGCCGAGGAACTCAGCTGCATCCTTGACAGGGTGGGCCGCACGCTGGCCGACCCTGGGCTGCCCGTCTTGGCCTCTCTGGTTTATGGGACAGAGAAATAACCCTAAGGCTCAAACCAGTTTGAAACACTTTGACATGGATGGATGCCTGTCTAATCCTAACCGACCTAGAGGCTGGTACCTGGATGGAGTGTATCGAGGCTCTAGTCTCTCGCATGTCACAAGAAATGCAGCCTGAGAGGGAGGGTCATCGGGGCAGGGAACGGTAGACGAGAACATACGTCTCGAAGGTTCGTAAGTAGACACGGCTCCCATCAAACAGCGGCAGAGCACTTGCTAGGAGCCTGGCTTTCTAGAGCTTGGGAGGAAGACCGTGCAGCTGTTAGAAGCGATACCATCACAGGGACCAGCTCGGAACACTCACGAGAACAGTGTTTCTATCCCTGACACTCTCAGCAAAGTTCCCCGTAAGAGACACGACCTCCCCAGGAGCTGGCCGGGCTCAAAGGATGGAAAAGAAAACAGATCTGACAAGCGGCCGGCGACCAGCAGGCTGCACTGGAGCCTCTGGGTGGTGCCGGCAGCACCCACAGGTGGGAAGACGGACGCCTCGCCACAGACAGCCCGCAGCCTCGTGCCAAAGATGCTATCAAGGGATCACCCCTGGCACGGTTTCATTCAGCCAAGGGACCCGCCACCTGACTGAGAGAGGAGTTGGGCAGAGTATCAGGGCCATTAAAAGACCAGAGTTTTTAGGCTAAAAATCTCAACTCCTGGTAAGAGCTTTGTTGGTTATTCACACAGAACCATTCGAGGCCTACCAAAGTTTTCAGAAACTTCTATCTCTTTAGAAACCATAAGGCTGACCAAAAAGGCTGTCATTTCACCCTAAGAACAATAATACTCAGAAACCCTCACTGAGAGTGGGTGTCAGAAGGCCATCCCTCTGATGCACAACTCAATGTGTTAGAGTTCAAGACCCTCCCAAAAGGCAAAGTCACAACCCCAAGGACACCAGGCCCAAGGGCACGACCAGGAAACCTACCTAGCGCCTGTGGAGGGCACCCTTCCTCTCGCTGCCCTGGGAGATTCCACCGTCCCCATCTCAGCCCCTGCAGCCAGGGGCAGAGGACACATCTGTTTTAAGTAGGAGATTGCCAAAGAAGGTTCCATCCCCAGAGATCCTGAATCTGCTCGAGAGGAAGTAAACAAGCAGGCTGGTAGGGCTGCCTTCCTGGAGGAGGGGGTGAGAGTTTTAGATCGGGGGAGTGGGGGGCAGCTACAACACGGATATTTGGGACTGTGGCAGACATTGCTGGCTGTTCCCCATGGCGGACCTCCCACTCCCTTCTTAGGAAAAGAACTCCCAATTTTTAGCTGCCACAAGTCCCCACAGGTGGGTGGGAGAGCCAGAGAAAAAAGATTTTGGAAACTTTATAATAAGATCTATTATCTAACTTAAATTTTACTTCTATTCCAGACCCTGAGGAAAGAGCCACAGAAGTGACAGATACAAAGACAGAAACACACATGGAGTTCAAACCCAGGACATGCTTTTGGAAATTCTTGTTCTGCATAACGGGCCTATGGATGTGGTCGGTTCACAAAATCAATTCCGTATATGGTAAATTCTGATACGTAGCTTTCCACATGCTGGTATGATACTAGAGTTTGACTCTGATGACCCTAGGTACTAAAAATACTGTATGAATCTGGTCAATACATGTAAAGTATATTGAAGCAGTGTCTGGAAGATAAAAGCTTTCAATACATGTTAGCTGCTATTATTATTAACGTCATTATTATTATTATCATTACCACAAGAGACTGTGCTTCCAGGAGGAGAGCCCACTTGGGATCAAATATAATATGAGCTAGAGACATGGTTTTGGTCTGGGGCACGTCGGTGGCTCAGTCAGTTAAGAGTCTGACTCTTGACTTTGGCTCAGGTCATGATCTCAGGGTCCTGGGATCAAGTCCCGCATCAGGACCCCCACTCAGTGCGGAGTTTGCTAGTCTTTCTGCAGTCTCTCTATCTCTCCCCCTGCCCCTCCCCTCTGCTCTCTCACACTCTCTTTCTCTCTCTCAAATATATAAATAAATCTGGGACGCCTGGGTGGCTCAGTTGGTTAAGCAGCTGCCTTCGGCTCAGGTCATGATCCCAGAGTCCTGGGATCGAGTCCCACATCAGGCTCCTTGCTCATCAGGGAGCCTGCTTCTCCCTCTGCCTCTGCCTGCCATTCTGTCTGCCTGTGCTCGCTCTCTCTCTCTCTCTGGCAAATAAATAAATAAAATCTTAAAAAAAAAATATATATATATATATAAATAAATCTTAAAAAAAAAAAAAGAAGAAGAAAAGAAATGGCCTTGGTCTTATTCTTTGAAAGGAATAAGCCCTATGTTTCATTTATCATTTCACGGTCCCTTTGTGGACAACTGAGTTTTCAGCATCAAGGTGACCTCTTCAAGTTCCTTCTCCTAAAAAAGGCTACAGCCCATCCACCCCACCCCACCCCGGGCACTGCTCAGCAGGCTTGCTGACGCACGAAGCTGCAGTGAGTAACTTTATCTCACCGAGTTCGGAAGGAAGCCATGCAAGCCGTGGAAGAGGACATCTGTACGTTTTGGTGAACAGCCACTCTTTATTTAGGTGGGACCAGCTCTGCGCCAAGCGGAAGGATTAATCATTAATCATCAAAGCTATTTCATTCTCCATGCTTTACAGAGACCAGGCAAGAAGAGAGACAAAGACGCTTCCTAAATGCCCTTGGAAAAGCCAAAATATTTTCCTCTTTTGTAAAAATAAAAACTCGTAATCCTACAGAAGGTTCTGACTCTGCTATTGTCCTGCTCAGCTATACACTTTTACAGACTTAAATTGCCTAAGACAGAATGTTTAAAAAAAAAAAAAATTCAGTATCAAAAAGGAACTTACCACTGTTCAAGGGTACTAAAGCAGTATAATTACACAGCATTTTTTTTCTATCCTAAAACAAGTGCTCACCAGCATGTAAGGAAACGCAACCATCTGATAACACAGGGGACGGGCCAGGGGACGGGTCACCCACTCAAGGCTGGCAGCCCGCTTCATAATCACTGCCCACTACACGAGCTCAGAGACCGTCATTCCGGTGGTTCAAGATCGTCACAACATAAAATATTCTTCACTTATTGCCCAAAAACAATGGGCAAGAAGTGACAACGTTTTTCTTTTTTTTTTTTTTTTTAAGATTTTTTTTTTTTATTTATTTGAGAGAAAGAGAGAAATTGAGAGAGCACGAGCTGGGGGAGGGGGAGAAGGAGAAGCAGGTTCCCTGCCGAGCAGAGAGCCTGACGTGGGGCTCAATCCCAGGACCCTGGGACCACGATAAGCCCAAGGCAGACGCTTAACCAACTGAGCCCCCCAGGCGTCCCATGATGTGCCAATATTTCTCCATCAAAATTTAATCTTCCAAAATCTTATGTCAAATGCCACATCTGATTTTTTATTTGGAAAATATGATGATAATAGGTCACCTTTTCAATACAAATGGTGTTCTCCTGGGCAACAACGGATTTCAGAGTTAGCGGCCTCAAGTAATGATTCTTCCATATACAAACGCAGACTTCCTCCTTCTCAGAGGAGGGCAGGGGACCGGGTAGGAGGAGAGGCAGGAGAGGGAGGGAACGCTAAAAAAAAAAGTACCTATGACAACACAAAATAACACAGCAAACAAGAACTGTTCGCGACCATGGCTCCCACTCCCCTCCGCTATACCCACCTCGCTCCACGGACCCTTCTCCACGAATGCCTTCTCTACACACTAGTCACACAAAACCGCTCACTCCATGGCTTTGAGGATAACAGTCAAGAAAATTCTAAGCTGATCTCATCATTCCATGGCAACATATTATCAAATTCCAGAAATTACTAAGAAAGACCAAAATATTTCCCTATGGTGAATTATGTCTGCATCTAATTGTACAGTCCATGAGTGAAAATGCCAGAAACTGTGAATCCAGTGGGGTTTTGCAGGGGGGCGGTGTCTTACATTCCTGAAATTTTAGTCCCATGTTGAAGGAAGATGCTTTTCTTTTTCCCCTAAAGATTTTATTTATTTATCTGATAGAGAGAGACACAGTGAGAGAGGGAACACAAGCATGGGGAGCGGGAGAGGAAGAAGCAGGCTTCCCGCTGAGCAGGAGCCCGATGCGGGGCTCGATCCCAGGACCCTGGGATCACGACCCAAGCTGAAGGCAGACACCCAAAGAGTGAGCCCCCCAGGCATCCCAGGAAGATGCCTTTTTTATTCACTCCCTCTATAAGCCAACTTTTTAAACTATCTCAAAAAGGAATATTGGTTAATACTAATTTAAGACTAAAACAAATTCCTTTCATCTGTTTGCCATTTTTTAAACTTTAACCAAAGTCCATGAAACAGAAAAAATAAGAAAGATAACTCAGAATAAATCTCGAATATTTAAACTGGATTAGAGAGCGCCTGCAAAACGTACTGGATAGGGAACATATCAAAATGGGTTTCCAAAAGTACAAAGTTTCCGATTCGTTTCAGTCGAACACAGCTCGTGTGTTGTTGAAATGACCTGTCCGAATGCCCCCGCAAAACGTCTTCCACTAAGTGTTGAATGCTGATTACGACAACACAAAAATAAAATGATGGCCTGAGTAATAACACCACTGCTTAAAGATATTTTTCCGTAGTTTTCTCCAAGGATCATCTGCAAGGCCAACCACTACGGGAAGAGGTCACAAGACACAAAATCCCCTTGCTTTCAAATACAAACCTGGGATCAAGGAACATTTTTAAGCTTTTCTTCCTACATTTTACCCCTCTAGGACAAGGGTACTCCCCCTTGCTAATGGGCTCACTGAGAGTTCTCCTTCACCTCTACGCCCTTCTCCCCCAGCACTGGCCAGACGGGACAGTCAACGCCACTGGGCTCCTCCAACAGGTGCACAATATCTGGCCAGAACTTACCCGTCTAGAAGGTTCATCGTGGTTGGCGCCACTTCGGCAAACAGAATCACTTTTCCGAGTCGCTTAGTCTGCAGATTCTGTCGGTAGATGTCTAGGTTAAAATTTTCCGAAGAGAAGGCCTGCACGTCAGTCACCACGGGTAGAGCAGATGGCGTGATTTCCATTTCAGACGTGTAGGATGAGAGAAACTTAAGGGAGAGCTTGCTGGATTTTATGACTCCTTCAGGATCTGCGTGCTTCCCCAGCCACCGCCTAAGAGGATCCCAGATTTCCTGTGTTAGAAAGAAATGAAAAGGCTGTAATTCGGCAGTACACGAGGAGATGGTAGCCTTTCCCTAAAACGCCATTTCGGTAATGTAAGTATTTCCTAAGTCGTGATCAGTAAGAGCTGTGGGAACATATTCTGGATGTCTGTGCTATCATACAGCAGACAGTAAGTGTACGCAACAGGCGTTTCTCGATAAATACGGTACAGGGCTGTAAATGTATTTTCTCTTTCTTACCCTTTTCTTCATCACCTTTTCTTTACTCTAGCTTCCCTTCTCGTGAGGATACCGTACAGAATACACAAAGCACACAAAATGCATGTTAATCGACTGTTTATGCCACTGGTAAGGTTTTTGGTCAATAGTCCGCTATGGCTAGTTAAGTTTTCGGGGAGTCAAGGTTATATGTTTTTGGGGAGTCGAGGTTATATGCTGCGGATTTTCGGCAGCACCGGTGGGGGACGGGGTGGAGGGGAGTCCCTTTATCCCCACATTGTTCAAGAGTCAATGGTAAATTGTTCAGAAGCCACAATCCAAAGAAATACACACAGCACCTTATTAAACTTTCTATCTTACATAATACCCCAAATCCTTAAAAGTCTTCTCCAGGTCTGGAGTTCATCAGTAATTCTCTAGTCTGTGCCTTTTGCAGAAAATGTACAGCTTTAAACTTTCACGCCTTAAGGAAATTCATTATACTAGTTGGGGAAATATTATAAAATGCCCGTGACAGGAGTCACAGAAGACAAGGGACTAAGACAGGAGCATTCGCTGTCCCACTCTGGAGGACCTCTACCTCTCCTCCTAGACAAGCTGACCCCCACCAGCCACTGACAGGGCACCAGCAGCGGGAAACGTGACTTTCCCATGGGGAAATGATGGGGAACCCAACAGCTGCTTTCTCTTTGTCCAAATACGGGTCCAGGGGGTTGGGAGGGAGGCAGAACCTACCAGAAACCTTGCCTCGCCCAGAACGGAGCTCTCTATTCTTATCTCTACCACAAGAAGGGGTCCTGGAACCTCCCAGAAGGCTGTAACTTCCTCTTAGGCCCTGGAGGACCTCCCTCCGGAGTAGGCTAGGAGGTGGGAAACCAGGAAACTGTGGGATCAGGGGAGTCATCACCCCAAGAGGCCAACACCAAATGTATTAAGATCAGACAGTCACAGTAGACACAGATCCAGGCTGTTAGGTCACCTCCACGCAAACACCGGGCCTTTCGGAAGACAAAAGGTGCCCTTCTGCTAGCACAAGGGTATGCCCCAAAGGTGCACGTGGCCACAGAGAAGCAGCTTCCAAGATGAAATTTCACTGAGCTAAATTCAACTAGCACACCACTAAAACTCACTTCTTTTTTTTTTTTTAAGATTTTTATTTATTTATTTGACAGAGATCACAAGTAGACAGAGAGGCAGGCAGAGAAAGAGGAGGAAGCAGGCTCCCCGCTAACCAGAGAGCCTGATGCGGCACTCGATCCCAGGACCCTGGGATCATGACCTAGGCTGAAGGCAGAGGCTTTAAGCCACTGAGCCACCCAGGCACCCCTAAAACTCACTTCTGCTTGGCGAAACATACAGAGGACAGAAGAACAAGTTAAATAACGTCGGGAGGAAGGAATCAGAAGAAATCGAGAAGGTGAGACATGGCACAGAACAAACGGGCAAGTCAACATTACAGGGGCCCCAGGAGTAGAAGGGGGGTGCAAGTCTGCAGGAGGAGAGACGGCGAAAGACTCGATCAAATGCAATGAGCGGCTCCTCACCGCACTCTGGTTTGAACAGTGGAGCTGGAAGAGACATTTTGGGACAATAAGACATGTGAATCCAGACAGTGCGGCTCAGACAACAGAGGTTCACTGTCAGGTTCAGCAGGCGTGATCACAGGACCGTGGGGGCTTAGAAACACAGTCTTAATGTCAGAAATGTGTATGTGTCATGGTATCTGTGCTTTACCCCCAGAACAAATAAAGCAAATAAGGCAAAATGCTAATAACCGTTAAATTCAGCCCATGCATATTTGGGATATCTGTTACACTACTCTATTTTTCTCTAGATTTTAAAACTATCGTAATTAAAAGTAAAACAAAACAGGGGCACCTGAGTGGCTTAGTCAGTTAAGCGACCAACTCTTGGGTTTGGCTCAGGTCATGATTTCAGAGTCATGAGATAAAGCCCCGTGTGGGCTCTGTGCTCAGCACAGAGTCTGCTCGTCCTTCTCCCTCCCCTTTGGCTCCTCCCCCCACTCACACACACGCTCAGTCTCTCAAATACATAAAATCTATTAAAAAAATTTTTAAAGGTTAAAAAAAAAAGGTAAAACAAAATACAGAAATGGTAAAATAAACATTAACTGTTATAAAAATATCAGATTCAACCAAAATGTTTTGTCAATCCATTCATGCAACAAATGTTATGATATTCTGGGGTGCCTACCATATGGCAGACATTTTCATAGGTTCTGACGTTCAATAATGAACAAAGGCGCCAAAGTTCCCATCCTCAAAGGGCTTATAGTCTAGCATGGGAGTCAGATCATTTTTTTAAAATTCATCGGCACAAGACATAGAATGCCAGACAGTCACGAGTGCCAAGGAGAGATGATACACAGAGAAGACAGATAAGAAGTGCTGGAGGAAGGCCATCGTGGGGAGGACAGACGAACCCCGGCGGGAGGGAGGAGGGGAGGGTGGGACAACATAACCCATACAAGCCCATGGCTCTTTAGTTATGTAGAGGCTCCAAGGGGTGCATCATGAGGGAGGGAAGTGCCCGGAACACAGAGCAAGCCACAAGGAAGCCAAGGAGCCCAGAGGACAAGCCGGAGGGGCGCCCACGCTGTGCAAGGCCTGAAGGGCCACAGTGGGGACTGGGGTTTCCACTCTGGGGGCAACGAGGGGCCCTGGAGGCTTCGAGAAAGGGAGCGTGGTGACCTCCTGATCAGTCACCACGGGATCACTCACTCCAGTAAACTGCCCTGAGCGCAGATCAAGGGCGGGGGGACGTGGAAGCAGACACCGGCCAGGATGACTGCGGAGCTCCTGGGAGGGAGATGCCAACACCTGGACAGGTGTCACGGTAGCCTGCGACTGACGTAAAGGCTGCAAGACTCGCTGACAGATCACCCTCGGGATGTCAGAGGAAACAGGGAGTCAAAAATGAGCCCAAGCCACCAATTCAGCCAACTTTATATGTAAAACAAGGAAATGCAGGCTTCTCTTTAAAAATAAATAAATAAATAAGCCCAACACTTCAGACCGTAGCACCTGGAAGGAGGGGGACAGCCACCCAAAGCACCGAGACGGGAGGGAAGGAGCAGGCGTGGACGGGAAGAGCCGGTTCTGCGCACGTCACATTCGAGACCCTGGTTAGAAATGCACGGAGGCAGGGAATAAGCAGTAGGACAGAGTCAGGGATTTTGGGGGCGAGGTCCACACCGAGGACATAAATTTGGGGATCTTCAGACTGCAGATGATACTTTGAAGACAGCCCTAGTGACCTCATCTTAACTGGATTAGGCCTGCAAAGACCTTATTTCCAAAGAAGGACACATCAAAGGTTCTGGAGATTAGGACTTCAATGTACCTTTGTGGGGAAATAAAATTCAATCCACAACGGGTGTCAATGTTTAGATGTCAGGGAGACGAGGAGGAGTCTGCAAAGGAAAATCAAGCGTGAGTGTACAGGGTGCAGGAGGGTCTTGGGAATCCCAGGGCCGGGTTCCACAGGTGGCTAGAAGACAGGAAGATGGTGGCAGGGCAGTGAGAAGAGGGCTGAGCAGTTCCCACTGGACTCTGCAAGGCAGAGCCCATCAGGTACAGATAAGCCTGACGTTAACAGCGGGAGGAAAGAAACCACAGACTCCAAGAACTAAAAACTTTGGCAACGAGTTTCCTCTAAGGGAAAAAAAAGACTGGCGTAGTGGCTACAGAGGAAGGGAGCCTCCAAACAGGTATGGTTTGGTTAAATGAGAGAAATAACAGCATGTGTTTTAATGATGATGTGAACGGTCCAACCCAGAAAGGTAACAGGTGAACAGGTGAGTGCTGGATCCCGATGCTGAAGCAGAGAGGTCAGCTTCAGCAGCAGAGCCCTCACACACTGGGTACACAGGGGTCACATCCCCACTGGAGATACCAGGCTGCTTCCCCACTGGGTCGCAGCCCTCCCTCACCCCCGCTGGCTGCACAGCCATCCAAGACAGCCCTGGGAACTCATCTATGCTACCACTGTTCTGCTCCCAGGCGGCAGAGGAGTAGGTAGGAGTCCTGGGCTGAAGGCTGTTGATGTCATCTTCAGATTCCTTCTATTTTTTTCCTCAATAAATAAACAGCAAGATCATCAACTAAGAGTGAAAAGGAAGAAAGAGGTTTGAGAAGGCAAACTGAGAAAATGAGGAGAGCAGGGAAAATAAAAGGAGCAAGTGGAAGTGTCCAGGGTCCACTCCAGGTTAGTGTTTCTGAATTCAGAACGAGCAGGTGACACAATGCTGTGCTTTTATCCAGACACACTCAGCTACAGAGGTGCATGGAACAGATGCGGAGGAATCTGAGGGGCACATGAAGCAGCACAGTAACTGCCCTACTGCAAATGAGGCCCTGGTGGAGATATAAAGAGAAACAATGGGTAATCCTGGCTCAGGAGCTCACACCTCAGTGGGGAAGACAGCAAGAGGAGCACGCCAGGACAAAACAGAAGAGGACGGTTCCAGAGGGGAAAGCAAAGTACCCAGGAGGAGTGCAAACTAGGAAATGATTCTGTCTGAACAGGAAGCAGAAGAGTTGTCAGAAGACGGCAAGCAGAAGTGAGCCACCGGAAGCTACAGCTCTAACTTTCCATCTTTGCATGAAGAACTAAGAGAAATTTTATTTTTTTTTAAGATTTCATTTATTTATTTGAGAGAGAGAGAAAGAGCGCACAAGCAGAGGGAGTGGCAGAGGGTGAAGCAGGCTCCCTGCTTGGCAGGGAGCAGGGCTTGATCCCAGGACCCCGAGATCATGACCTGAGCCAAA